AAAAAAAAATTTTAAAGTTTTTTTATTTCTAATTTTATTTAATTCCCCCTAAATCCGTTAAAATAAGTTTTTTCCTTTTAAGCCTTTCTTATTTTTCCTAAAAATTTTTTTTAATTTTGAAAAAAAGTTTATAATGTTCCACCAAAAAAAATAAAAAAACCCCTTGGAATTGGCCGGTTTCAAAAAAAAAAAATTAAAATTTAAAAATTTAAAAATTTTTTTTTTTTTGCAAAAAAAAAAAAAAAAAAATTTTTTTAAAAAAAAAAATTTTTTTTTAGTAACAAAATTTTTTTTTAAAAAATAAATAAAAAAAAAACCAAGTTTATCTAATGCCAAATTTTAAAATAAAAATTAAAACAAATAAATTAAATAAAAAAAAAAAAATGTTATTTTAAAATTTTGGGGGGGGGGGCTTGGGGGGATTTTTTTTTTTTTTTTTTTTTTTTTTTTATTTGTGAGGTGTGTGTTATTTTTTAAAACTGACCCTGTAATAATAAAAAAAAAAAAAATAAAAAAAAATAATTGATCAATTAAGCATTATAAACAGAAATACAAATACAAATATAATTTTATTTTAAATTTTTATTTTATTTTATTTTTATCTTTATTATTTCAAAATTTATTTTTATTTTATTTTTATTTTTTATTATCTTTATTTTTTATGTCTTTATCATGTTTACCAAATAGTTGAACTTCTATCCATCACTGTGATAGTGTTTGACCCAAATTTTAAAATAAAAAAAATGAAGCCATTTTTTTGTAATAAAAATCTAAAAAAAATTATTTAATATAAAAAAAAAAAAAAAAAAAAAATTTTTATTTTTTAAAAAATTTTTTTTAATTTTTTTTCTTATAGTATTTTTTTTAATTTTTTTTTTATTTTATAGTTTTATTTATTTTTTTTAATTTTCCTCAATTTGTATTATTGTTTGTGTATATAATTTATATATAAAATCCATTTAAAAATGAACTACGAAGATGATAATGTTGAAACCCAATCAGTTGGTAAATCAGATGCTGAATATAAAAGTGATATCTCCAACAGAGAAAAAGAAGTCACCAAAGCTTTAAATATGTATGTATCAAATTTTGGACATAAAAAAATGTTTCTTTTATTAAAAAAAAAAAAAAAAAAAAAATATCATGTAAAGTTTAATTAAACTTTTTTTTTTTTTTTTTTTTTTTTTGTATTCGAATCATTCAAGAACCAATACTAATCATTTTATTGTTTTATAAACAGGGGTAAACCACAAGATGCCTTAGCTGTTGCTTTAGCTGACCCACCAATTTACACCAAAACTGCTGCCATCAAGGTAAATATTATAACATCACACATTGTTTTTAGTTTTAGTTACATTTTATTCAACATTTATAAGAATTTCAATCAAATCAATTCATCCTCTATCAAATTTAAATGGTTAAATTAATAACAAAGAACCTAAATATCAAAATTAACATTGGTTTCAGTTTTCATTCACTATAAATTTTACAGTTCAAACCTTAACCTTCTAAATATTTTAATAAGATTGTTTATACAAACACTTTAAGGGTTAATTATTTAAAATAACAGATCATTCAACACAATATACATTTACATATATAAACAAATCAACCAATATTCATTGGTTTTCATAATCATTGTATTTTCAAATCCTAATTTTTATCTTTATTTCATTTAATAGGATCAAAACGCCACTATTGTTTTAAATCTTTTAGGTAGTTTCAAAGAAAAAGATGTTGAAACTTCAGTTGAATCACTCAATGATGAACAACTCGATGTTTTAATGAAATACGTCTACCGTGGTCTTGCTGTTGGTGAAAACTCTGCAATCTTTTTCAAATGGCACGAATGTGTCCTCAAAAAGGGTGGTATGGGTACCATTATTCGTGTCATCTCTGAAAAGAAGACTGTTTAAATTTAATTCTGTTGTATCCTAAAAAAAAAAATATAATTTATAATTTTTCTCATAATAATAACTTAATCTATTTATTATAACAAAAAAAAAAAAAAAACTAAAAAAACAAGAAAATAAATTAAAATAAAATAAACAATAATAAAATATTCAAAGTTTTATTATTTTTAAATGTATTTGTTTAAAAAAAAATCAACACCCACCATTTGTTTTTTTAAGATTACATAAATAAATTTTAGATCTAATTTTTTTTTTATTTTATTTCTAGATTTCATAAATTATAGATTAAAATATAAAACTAAATTATCAATCAATTTTAATTCCATCAGTTATTATTTATACCTTTTAATTATATGTGTTTTTTTTTTTTTTTTTTTTTTTTTTTTTTTTTTATTTTTAAATTTTAATTTTTTTTTTTTTTTTTTTTTTAATTTTTTTTAATTTTTTTAATTTTTTTTTTTTTTCATTAAAACGAATTATTTTTCTCGTCTTTTTTTTTTTTTTTTTCTTTATAGACTCACAAATATTTGTATATAATCTATCATAATTTTTACATCCCATTTTTTTTTTTTTATAATCATAAATAAATAAACTTTAAACAAAATGCATTTAATGTACTATAAAGGTTCAGAAGAAGGCCAAAGAGTCTACACTTTAAAAAAAGAAACACCAAAAGGTGAACCAACTTACTCTGCTCATCCAGGTATGTTATTATAAATAATGAAATAAATAATAATACAAATAATAATACAAATATAATTTATGAAAATAACAAAAAATATTTATATAACATGCATTTTATATTAATTTTATAAATTTATTTTTATTATCATTATAGCTCGTTTCTCCGTTGATGTCAAAGATTCAAGAGAAAGAATTGCTTTAAAGAAGAGATTCAATTTATTATTAACCCAACAACCACCAATCCAATTTTAAAAGATTATATAAAAAGAAAAAGAATATAAAAAACAATAAAAAAAAAAATATAAAAAAAAAATTTTAAAAAAATTATTAGAAACAGAAAGATTCAATTTATTTCTTTATTTTTAAAACTAATTTATAGTATTGAGTGAAAATGTATGTTTTTGTTTATTTAAACTTTTTTTTTTTTTTTCTTTTTCTATTTTTTTATTGTTTTGGTAAATTGGATTTTAAACCTGTTAAATTTACTACACATCCTACAATATCAGATACTGATACAACATTTATTGGTACTTGGGAAACTCCTGCATCGACTACCTCTTTGACTAAGAAAATACGATGTACTTTACCTGAGGCAACTCTGCCAATAGCTTCTCTTAATCTAGTTTGTGGTGCGCATACTATTGGTTCTCTTAAAGGAATCTATATTAAAAAAAAAAAGTTAATAAAAGTTCTATTTAATATGACCAAAACATTTAAAAAAACATACTGGATATGCATTTCCTACTGTTGGATAAAAGAATTCTGAAAGTGGTTGTAGAAGTTTAGCTTTATCCATTTTAACATATTTTATATCAATTACTGAAATATTATCCATTAACTCCCCATTATCACTAACTATTGGAACACCATAGATATTATTCTCTGCCAATAGTCTAAAAGCATCGATTGCTAGCTTATTATGATTGATTTGAATTACAGGTTTGAGTTTATTAAATAATCCCAATTCTTTGAGCTATTTTTTGATAAAATAAAAAAAAAAAAAAATAAACTATTAATATATTTTTAAAATTATAATTTTACAAAAAACTAAACCTACAGTTAATTCACCCGCATCTCCTAAAATATTATACTTTAAAATAATTCTAACATTAATAAAATATATAATTGAATTTTTTAGTATATGTTTATATTTACATGTTTATCTAGCCACTTTATTAAAGTTAATTGAGAATAAACCTTAATATCCATTTGTTCATCGGACAATGCAATACAGACTCTGTGGAATTTTTTATTGAATAAATCTAAAAGATTTAAAATTGTATCATTTTTTGAAATCATTGGACATTGTCTTTTAAAAACCCCATCTATATAAAAGTAAAAATATAAAGTTAATATTTTATCGGTTTGTAAAAAAAATTTATAATGATTTTACTTGAATTGGTTAAAATAGTTCTAATTGTTATATCTTTTGGGTTAATATCTTTGACTAAATTATTATTATCATCAAATAATGAAACAACGAATTTTACTAAATCTTTAATATCCAAAATTGATACCCATTGTCTTGAAATACTACAATAAATTGGAGCTGATAATAATTTTTGATTTGATAGTTTCTGTGAATATTATTTTTTTAATATTATTTTAAAAATTAGTATTCTATAAAAAAACCATAATCCATTTAGTTTTTATTATTATTATACCTACATCGAATGCATTTAATATATTTTCATCGGCATCTAACCAAACTAATGGTTTGCTAACAAACTTTCTTACCAATCCTGCATCCTCTATTGAAGATTGGAGGAATGTATTAAACTCTTTAGATTTAGAAAGAATTGGTTGTACAACATTATTTAAATTTGAAGTTGTTGGTATTTCCATTTTTTTTTTTTTTCTTTCTATTTATTTATTATACTATGCATAAATATAAATGTATGAATATAATTTTAATATTTTATCTGAATCTATATAGAAATTTTAAAAAAATAAAATAAAACAAATTTAAATATAAATAAAAAAAAAATTTTATTATTTTTTTGTTTAAATTCGAATCTCTTAATAAATAATTATAATAAAAATTAAAAATTAAAATAAAATTAATTTCCTTTTTGGAAAAAATAAAAATAAATAAAAAAAAATAAAAAAATAAAAAAATAAATAATAAAAAATTATTAATTTTCCAAAAAGGGTGGGTACTACCACTATTTCCATTGTGTAAATAAAAAAATATGTATGTGGAATACCCACACAAATTAAAAAAGTGGTAATTATAATAATATTTATAACTACGATTTTTAATTTTGTTGGATGGGTTTTATTTCCATAAAAATTATGAAAATTATGTCCAACAGTTATAAAAATAAAAACTAAAATAAAAGTGGGTTTTAATAACCTCGTTTATGATATGAAATAAAAAAATGAAATGTTGATACCATATATTGCTATTTTATCCATTATTATTATCCTCTATTATTTTTTTTTTAATTTTAATCTAAAGCTAAAAAAAGAAACCTAAAAAAAAGTGTGTATGTGCATGTGTGTTTTTTTTTATATAAAAAGAGTTTTTTTTTTAAATTATTTATTTATCTAAAACCTAACAAATTTAAGCTTTAACAGCGAAAACTCTTTGTGGGAAATGTTTTCTGGCTTTGGCAGTTCTGAGGGTGACGGCTGATTCTTGTTTGGTTGAGAGACGTCTTCTGATGGCTCTAGTTTTTTTGAATCTAAGATCTAATGGGATCTTTGATGATGATTTTTTGGCGTAGACGGCACGTAAGTGAGTCTTTTGGGTTTGGTTGTAAACGGTTAAAACACGAGCAATAGCTTTACGGACAGTACCAATTTTACCTAATTTGGATGGATTTGGAGCTTTGACTTGAGCAACTCTTAAACTGGCGAGTTCAGTTCTGAGTTCTTTTAAGTGCTCTTGTAATTGAGCTTTGTTTTTGTTTCTGAGTTCAAAAGCTTTGATTTTTTCGGCTATATATTATGAAATATTATAATTAGCATAGATTCGTTTTTTTTTTTTTCATAGGTTTGGTGTTGTTGGTGTTGTTTGTATTTATCTCTCATCCTTTGTATCTATCTTTAATCTTTTATCTTTTTTCTTTCTTTCTTTTTGTTTTCTCTTATATTTTTTCATTTGTTGGGATTGATACTTGATTTCAATAGATAAGTTGATATTTGAATGGATTGAGTTGGATTGATGAGAGATAATCTACCCTGTAATATGATATGTGATATGTGATATGTGATATATAAATACTAACCCATCGTGAATTATGTGTGTAGAGCGAAGAAAAATGAAAAAAACTAGTAAAAAATTTTGTGCACAAAAAGATTTTTAAAAAATTTTCTTTTTTTTTTAAATTTTTTTTTTTAAAAATTTTTTTTTTTTTTAAAACGTAAAAAATTTTTATTGTTTTTTTTTTTTTTTCATAAGCAATTAACTATAATTATAAATGATTAAAAAAAAAAGAAATATTTATTTTAACTATATTTTATTAATTTCTATATTTTCTAAAAAAAAAATAAATAAAACATTGTTTATTATTTATTTAAAATTTTATTTTATTTTTTTATTTTTATTTTACTTTTTTATTTTATTTTAATTTTTTTATTATTTTTTTTTATGGTTTTAAATATACTAAAAAATTTTAAATATTATTAAAGTATATTTCAATCAATGAATAAAAAGAAAAGGAATTGATATAAACCAAAATAATGATTTTTTTTTTAAATTTACCCCACATCCCCGAATATGAATTTTTTTTTTAATTTTTTCAAAAAAAAAAAATCAAAATATTTTTTATTTTTTTTTTATTTCATTTAAAATATTTTTTTAATATATTAATTTTATTTATTTATATTTGTATTATTTGTATTTATATTTGTATTTGTATTTTAAAAAATGACACTTCTTGTTAACCAACAGGAAATTTCCGATATTGATATAGGGATGCCAGAGTATTGGACCTATAAAAGCGAGGGTGCAATGAATGTTGTATTATCATACACTGGACCATTTAATGAAAATTTGGTGTGTATTTTTTTGTATATTATAAAATGTTAATCTCAAAAATAATTATAATATTAACATTTAATTTTGATTTTAAAGAATGGATTGGTATTAAGAGTCAAAAAACAAAGTAATGGTGGTAGTAATTTAGAAAAGGAAATAGAGTTGTTTAATTTTGTGTCAAAAGTAATGACACCATTATTGGGTGAGAAATATGTATTTTGTGGTTCAATGATTAATATTACTCAAGATTTTTTAGAGAAATTGGATAGTTTAATATTCAAACAAAGACCAATAACCAGATCAACTATTAGACTTGATACGAAATTGCCAGTAGCATTCTTAATTATGGATCTTACAAAATTAGACAGTTTCAATATATCCATTGACCATGATAGTATACTTAGATCGCCAGTATCACATAGGTTAACCAGTGAACAATATCAAAAACAACATCCATCCCACGATAAAGAAAAAGTAATCTGTATTGAAATTAAACCCAAGTGGGGTTTTTTACCAAGTAACTCATTAAAGTATATGGCCAGCGAAACTAGGGACACCAAAGCAAGTACTTGTAGATATTGCATGCATCAACATTTAAAGTTTCAAGAGAATTCAATTGGTGATATAAGCAACTACTGTCCAATCGATCTTTTTAGTGGGGATCCTAAAAGACAAGAGTATTCAATTAAAGAGATGATTAATCATCCACAGAATAATTTAAAAATTTATTATAATGGTGTATTATCATTTACTGGTTCATTGGGTGGTGGTGCTGAAAGGGACCAACTATCAAACTGCAAGATTTTATCAAGTTTATTATATGAAAATGATATTATTAGGGTTTCATCAAATGGCCAAGAGGAAGGGGTTGAAAATATAGATATTCATTCAACTATTGATGCTTTTTCAAAATTGGTCACAATAATACTCAACAGAGAAACCATACTATCAAGTATCAAAAAAGTTCAGTTGTTTGATGAATATGACATTGAAGGTATCTATTACATTTATAACAAATTAAATGGTAACGAATCCAAAAACCAAAGTTTAGATATTTCAAAAGAGTCACAAGACCAATTAAATCAATTATCAACCGATCAAATGAAGGACATCATAAATAGATTCATGATTTCATGTACAGCCAAAGATTGCTCAATTATGATTTCTTTTACATTAGGTAAATCAATTACATCTATTCAAGATCTAAATACAAATTTAACATTTATAAATTCACTTGACGAAACAACAAACAATAATACCGATAATAACAGCAGCAATAATACAGTAACTTATAAAATTGGTGTGGTTGACTTAGATACCAAAAAACAATCAGCAATCCCAAAATATTATGAATTGGATAGGGAAATTGTAAAAACTTTTAAAAAGTCCATTAAATCAATCAAATCATGTAAATAATAAAACAAAATTTCCATATTTCAATAAAATAATTTAAAATGTTGATAATAATGGATTTATAATAAAATGAACGGATTATAATTATTGACCCGTTTCCCTCCAAAGTTTGTGTTTTTTAAAAAAAAAATTAAAATTTTTTTTTTAATTTTATTTTTATTTTTTTTATTTTTTATTTTTTAATAAACAAGATAATATAATTGTTCTCTATTTTAATAAGAGTTATATCATTATATATTACAAATAAATAGATATTTGGTTTTATAGTTTTATATTCTTATATAAAATAAATAAAATTTTATTGTGTACTTTTATTTTTTTTATTTTTTTTTTTTATTTTTTATTTATTTCCTAATTATAATTTTCCTTAATAATAATAATAAAGTTTTTAAATATAATAAAAATAATAGTTGATAATAATATAAAGCTAAAAAAATTTCAATAAAAAAAAAAAAAAAAAGAAAAATATGATTAGTGGATTATCAGTTCATAATCAAATAAATAAGAAACCAGAAAAAAAGGAACAAAATGTTCAAGCATTTGTTAGAGTGCGTCCATTCTCGCAATTAGAGATTAATCAGGGGTTATCAGCAATACCGGTTCAAGTAGCAGAGAGTGGAAAGGAAATTTTATGTGATTTTAAAGGAACAACTAGACAATATAAATTCGATCATGTTTTTGGTTTGGGTAAAGATATTTAATGCAGTATAATTACACATTCACACTGACTATTTGCTAACATTGTATTTTTTTCATTTTAACTTTTAAAAGATTCAATTCAAAGCGAAGTTTTTAATATAGCAGTTAGACCAATATGTGATGAAGTATTACTGGGATTTAATGGAACAATATTTGTATATGGTCAAACAGGTACAGGTAAAACACATACAATGGAGGGTAGAATGGATTCACCAGAGCAAAATGGTATAATCCCAAGAACTATAGATTATATTTTTCAATGTCTCGAAAAAGCAGGTTCAGATTATAATATTAGAGCAAGTCATTTGGAAATTTATAAAGAGGAAATTTTCGATTTATTAGCTTGCAATGGAGATACAGTTGGTAAACCTTTGGGTTTATTTGGTAGGTTATGAAATTTAATTTATTTTTAAACAATAAATGAATATTATATTAATTTTAAAATTTTTTATAGATACACAAAAGGGTTTTAAAATACCAGATTTAGAAGAGATTGTTGTAAATGATAGACATACAATTTTAGGTATTTTAACAAAATCATGCAAGAGAAGACAAACAGCTGAAACACAATATAATAAACAGTCTAGTAGATCTCATTGTATTTTTAGTATCACAGTACATGTTAAAGAGACAACTATGAATGGTGAGGATTTAATAAAAATTGGCAAATTAAATTTGGTAGATTTGGCAGGTTCAGAAAATGCAGAAAAATCTGGTAACAATGATCGTCTAAGAGAAGCAGCATTAATCAATAAAAGTTTATTAACACTTGGAAAAGTTATTACCGATTTATCAAATAATGAAAAGCATATACCTTATCGTTCATCACAGCTCACTAAAATTCTTCAAGATTCATTAGGTGGTAAAACAAAGACATCAATTATTGCTACAATTTCCCCATCGCTTTACAACTTGGAAGAAACAGTAAATACTTTGGAGTATGCATTGAAGGCAAAGAGTATTAAAAATACACCACAAATTAATCAAAGAATGTCAAAAAATTCCCTTTTGAAAGAACAGTCATCAGAAATTGCTCGTTTGAAACAATTGTTACAGGCTGCATATGATAAAAATGGTGTTTATTTAACAATAGATATGTACGAATCAATGAAAAAAGAAATTGAAGAAAAATCCGATCAAATAACAAGATCAGATTTCAATATACAGGCAGCACGTCACGAAATTTCATCAATGAGAAAAACATTTGATGAACAAACCATGCTTTTGGAGGATGCTATGAACCAATTGGATAGTACTAAGAGGCAATACAATGAATCAAAAAGAATTATTGAGCAAATGGCATCTCAAGACTCAACTTTACGTGACCATTTGGACGATGCTGTATCTGACCTTGGTAAGCTTCATGATAAGGTAGATAATATGAAGTCAACAGAACAAGAGAATTATTTTAACAACAGCCAATCTAAAGAGATTCTTCAACATCATTTGGAGGAGCTGGACCATTCATTACAAGAGACACTACAATTAACTCAAGGACAATTTTTAGAAACACTTTCTCAGCAATTAGTAGAGGCCCAAGAATCCCAATCAAAGTCTAATCAAATATTACATAAAAAATTTTTATCAATCATTCAACTTATCGATGGCTCGCAATCACTTATTCAAGATCTCTCTAGTAAGTCAAGTGATTCTGCCCAACCATTGTTAAAATTAAATAAGGATTGTAATGATGTATTCACTAGGATCGATAAATTGGTAACCAATCTCCGTGATAGTATCAAAATGTTGTTGCATGATTTCTCACCAATTTCATTTAGTACCGATCACCATCAAAATATAATTGCAAATTGTTTAAAACTCGTTAATGAGCATTCTAGTAAATCTAAAGATATTACACAATCACAGGGCGCAGCAATCCAAAAATTTTCAGATTCAATGTCATGCTGGATACAGAGTCAAAACCAATTTGTAGAACAACAAAAGAAATTCCATCAAATGTTTCAAGATAAACTGGCCCAAAATAAATCTATAATGGAACAAAAGTTAATTTCAAAGATTTCACAAGTTGTTTCACAATTTTCAAATGGTTATATTGATACATTCCAAACATTCCAGCAAACAATGGTTGGTAATTTTGACCATCTTCAAAAACAAACATTGGCATTCAATGAGGATTCAAAGAAAGCAGTTATGGATTTATCATCAGGTGTTCTTACTAGTTCATCTCTTTCAAATAATCTCTCACAAGAAATCAATAATTGTCTTTCAAGTAATAAAACAGAGCAGTTAAACGCAAATCTTAAAGTAATGGAGAATATTGAAGCCACCAAAAAGAAAATTGAAACTATCACAGATAATTGTGTTGATCTTTGCGATAAACAAAAGACCTATTTCAATCAATTTAATGACAAGTTTACAGATTTTACAAGCGAGTTATATAAACAAAAGGACGTTTTGGGTAAAGTTAAGAATCAAAAACAACATGCATCTGACATTATTCCACTAATCGAAAAATCAAAAGATCAATTTAAAAATAATATGGATGTTATTAATAAATCATTAGAGGTTAATAAATTAAATATTCAAAGATCAACAAATGAATGTAGTAACCATTTGAGGGCATTAATTTCATCAATTCCCGAATTTTTCGACTCAAAAGTAACTGTTAAAACTGGACAAACACCATTTAAAAAGCAATTTGATATACCATCACCAATTTCAATATATAATAATAATAAAGAGAATAACAATCCATTGTCAAAAAGTCAGGGTTATAATAGTTTGTTTTTTGATGGAACTAAAAGTTTTGGATCTTCATTTTTAGGTAATAGCACCAGTAACAGTAATAATACAAATAATACAAATAGTATAAATATTACACATGGTAATAGTAATACTTCTTTACAAACACCAAAGAAAGATCAAAAAATATTACCACAAACTCCAAAGAGTGTAAAAAAAACAGCAATGGCCCCAGTAACACCCAAAAGTACACAAAAACAGGTTTTATTTAATACAAATCAAAATAGTGTTTCAAAAACAAAAATTTCTCAAGATCTCAAGCAACAACAAAAACAAGATGAAATAAATCCACTTACACAATCAAAAAATGGATTAAAGAAATCAACAGTTTTATCGACAACATCTTCATCCTCGTCGTCATCATCTACATCGTCGTCAACCACATCATCCACATCATCATCATCATCATCATCGTTATCATCATCTATTGCCCCTGTATTATCATCCTCATCATCAGTAGTTTCAAACTCATCAAAAAATTCAAATATATTAGAGTCACCTTTTACTTCACCAAAAATGTTAAAAAATCAATATGCTCAAATACAACAATTACCAAATCCTCAAAATAATAGTAATACATTCCTTACACCAAATTCCAATTTATTAAATTTAAATACAACTATAGGAGGTAACCCAACCATTAACTTCAATTTATTAGATGATTCAGAGGATGACTCAGATACTGATACTAGAAGAAAACCTAAAATTCCATTATCTAAGGGTTTAAGATCGAGAAATACTATAGCGTCATCCAGTAAAAAAGTTGGATTAACACCAAATAGAAAAGCTGGCCCTATTGTCAAAAAAACAACTGCTTTATCAACAATTAAAAAAAAAACAAATACCCCAATTCTCAAAAGATAATCATTAATCACAAATATTAAATATCTTTAAATTTTAATTAATACAAAGATAAATTACAACAATTTAATAAATATATATTATATAATTATAAACTTTTTTAAAAAAGATAAAACTTTTATTTTTACAAATTTTTTATTTTATTAATCTTGTGCCATTGCGCTCCTGATTCCATTTATTACTAAATTAATCATTTTAATGGATGGATCGTTTGTGGATTCATTAAAATCTTTTTGATGGAAATTTTTACTGATTATTCTAAGATTTGCTTTAATATTTACAAATTGTTCTGGTGGATAGAGTCTATTAATTAAACCATCTATAAGTTTGGGTTTTAAAATAACATCTTCATATTGTTTAAAGGTTAAAAGTATAATAAGTTCTCTTAAATAGTTGTCTGGAACTAAAAAATTGTAATATATTTATTGTTAGTATTTTCAATCTATAAAATAGTTATTAAAATAAAACATTAACTACTTACATTCTGGAGGATTAGATAAAATTTTGCATATGTTTGATTCTACCATAGTTTTAGCTTGATGATCTACTATTTCATAATTTGTTTTGTTTTTAAATAAACCTGATTTCTTTAATGATTCTCTTAAAAAACCTTTTTGTATTAAAGAGTTTCCAATTGAACTTGTTACTTTATTCTGTAATTTAAAAAGAATTAAAAATTAATATATCAATCTATAATTTTCAAATGATCTTTTTTATATCTTACCATTCTATTAACACCATCAGAAATTTTTAAAATTGCATGTGACATCATCATACCTTTTGAAGTTGATAGTTTTTTTAAAATGTAATCTAAAAATTCGTCACCTGTTTTTGAATGATCTATTACCTTGATTACCATTTTATTTACATTTGAATTCATTATATTTACTTTACTGACTACTACTTTATCCATAAATTGAAGTTCTGCTATTCCACATCCGACAAAACCATGAAATAAAGGAACAAATGTTGTTGGTAGTTTCCCATTTCTTGGATCTAATATTAATATAAATAATTGTTCTGGTAATGTTAATAATGGTAATGTATCATTGTCGCTTTCTGGGTTCATTTTAATTAAAAGTTCGTTCATTTTTAATACTATATGTATAATTTATAATTTTAAAAAAATTATTAAATAAAATATTTTTTTTTTTTAAATATTTAAACAAAATAAAAAAATATTTAAATATATATAATTTATAAATTTAATCTCTTTATAAAAAATATAAAAAGAAATTAAGAGTTATTTATAAATAAATTAAAATAAATAAAAAATATACAACATAAAAATAAAATATTTAATAAAAAAAAAAAATGAATATTAATCAAGAAATTTATTTTTCAATTATTTATTTATTTATATAATGTAAATAAAATCAATTTTGAACATATAAACATTTATTTGTATGCAAATATAATAAATAGTTTAAAAAATATATTATATCAAGCGTAATAACCCCCGCCATTCACTAAATAAGAAAAAAAAAAAAAACCCCACCCCCCCACAAAAAATTATTAAAAACTAAAAATAAAAACACACATTTTTAAATTATTTTATAATAATATAAATTTAAAAGTTTATTTATTTATTGTCTTTTAAGTAATATTTTATTTATTTTTTCTGAAATTAATTATCATTATAGATGTTTAGTCTTTACATTTCCAAATATAATTATTTGCACCAAACAATGTTTTATTGGGTCATTTGTGTGCTATTTTGAATAGAAATATTATTATTTTCGTTATATATCTATTTTGAATCTTATTATTTTTGAAAGATACGAAATTGAGATTTATTTTTTTTTAGTGTTTTTGGTGGTTACACTATTAAAGAGTTTTATTTCTTAATATTGTCGCTTTTTTTATTTTGGTTATTATTTTGATTATAGTTTTGATTATTATTATTATTATTATTATTATTATTATTATTATTATTATTATTAATTTTGTTTTCATTTATATTTAAGGTTTTGTTATTTTTTTTGTTATT